CGGTAACGTGCACCGCCGCGGAGAGTTTCACGGCGAAATCCCGCGGATAACTTAAGCTGCCATTCTCAAGCAATGTCTAGGAGAGCCCGCAGTCGTCGCATCTGGAGCGACAGTCACGCGAGACGTCGACTCTCGGTTTACGACTGCGCGCGGCCGAGGCAGGCGTAACTATAAAGTTATTGCGGCTTGAAGAAGCAGGCAAGCAGCCGAGCACAGGAAGCGGAATCGCCTCTCGTTTCGACTCGCGATACCGCCGTGAAATGTTTCCGCGGTCGCGTAGCTTTCAGGGCGAGGCGTTTAACCCTCCGCTCCGTCCGAGATATGTTCTCCGTTTTTCTCGCGTCCGTCACAACCGATCCGCGCAAGTTTATTTACCTCGCCACGATATCGCGTGGTTTTCGCGACTACTTCGATATATATTCGATATTCGACATTTGACTGATGATGTAACACGTTGTTTGCGATAATATATTCACAAATGGGTATATATTATTATATGCATGGCAGAAAAAATTTGATTTCAAAAAATATTGTTACAAGTAATTGTTAATATTAATAATATTATTAATAATATTAATATTAATAAATGTTAATTCACTACACTTTCCATTTAATACAAAATATTGAGTCTTTTTATCAATGATATTATAAATATATTATCGAGCAAAATTGAGATTGAGTCGGTTCGTAGACTTGAATGCAGCGAGATATCAAAGTAGATGTAGCCGATAGCGAATCGCAAAGGTTAAAGGTCATCGTATACATCATGAAAAGAGCACCAGTAAAAGGCAGTAAAGAGATGCGAAGTTCGCTGTTATTTTTGCAAGAAACGTCTGAATTTTTCATCGCACAAGTCAGAAATAGCGATAATACTATCCGTTTTCTTCGGTGAAAAAACAGAGAAAAACGATATAAATATTACGATGATGCAGCGAGAAACGTAACGGAGAAGTCAAAGTCGCGCAACGTACTTGATTAAAAAAGTTGTCCTTAGTGGATGAAATATATTTATCTTTTCTTCACCCTCATCTTATTGGCAAAAATGACGAATTATGTTACGTGCAAGTAGCCCAATGGGCGCGAGTCCTTTAATCAGTTTAATTGCGCACTCCAATCAAAAGCAGCGGAGAAGCAGTTCGCAAGCTGCGTCACGCTTGGTGCAAGCTGCGTTGCATATCGCCCATCGTACATTGCGCCCTGTAAGTACGAGTCTCTGACGGAAGTTCGCTTGGGTTAACGTGTGCGAGAGAAAGAAACGCAGCGACACAAAAAAGAAACAGAGAAAGAGAAACAGAGAAAGCGGAAGAGAGGGAGGAGGGTTGCAGGAAAGTTAAATATCTTGGTAAGGGTGACGAGTTAAGTCACGTAAATCCTACATTGCGTACACATAAAAACACGCACACACGCGCGCACACCCACCCACCTACACACATACACACACACACACACAGAAACACACACGAGCGGCGCAGCGTTCATGTTGTCCGGAACGACTTTCCAGGGTAACTCGCATCGGTGCTGGAACTTTGCGCCGCTTCAAACGCGCGAGCAGATATCTTTGGAGAAGCGGAAATAGCGTGCGAAGTTCTAGAAAGAGGCGTACTCGGTTGTCAGTGGAAATTTACTATCTCCCCCCCTGCCTCCACCCTCCTGTCGATATAAAGCTGGCGACGCTTTCTCTCTCTCTCTCTCTCTCTCTCTCTCTCTCTCTCTCTCTCTCTCACTCTCTCTCTCTCTCCCTCCCTCTCCCTCTCTCTCTCGCTACGAATTCGCGGCCAAGCGGATGGACGACGATTTTTCGCCGCCGAGAGCCGATCATTTGTCGCCATTTTTCAGACGCTCTGGCTATCTCGATATTTACGTGAAAGCGCTCGCAGGAGCTAACACGAGTAACGGCGCGGTGTTTTCTGCAAGAGAGAGGAAGAGAGTGGGAGGGGAGGGGGGTTAACGTGGCCCCGTGGATGATAAATGATCGAGAATGGTGCTATACGCGTCAATAATTGCTCATCGGATACACGCGCAATGTAATTATCGCAAATCGGTCGGCATATGCGCGCGCGCTGTTTATACCGCCACTCCGTCGTCCTGATGAAATATAATTAATTAGTCGGGGTGAGATAATTTTTCCGAAAAAATAAACGGGATCACCGCGATAGGTAATGCACGCGCGGCGCTAATTCGCGCGCTTCTACATTGTTCGCAGTGCGACGTAAAAATTCGCAACTCCAGGAAATCCCGAGGTAAATGTTTGGGGAAATATTACCGCAGCGAGAAAGAACCGCGGTGGTAGCTTTTGCGGCGATCAACAAAACAAGCTGTAAAAGGATACACCGATTTCGGTACCGATTTTTCAGGAGCGGCCCCAGGTTTTTGCCTGGGAAAAATTCGGAAATATTTGCTCTGCGTCGACCGCGCTGTATTCCGCGCGCAAAGCCGAACTTATAATTATACTATTTCACATAAGTCTGCAAATTTGCACGCAAAAACCGAGGTTCATCTCCCCCGGAGTCTAACCGGACTTGATTTAACCAAAGCAAGCCTGACGAAACCGACTCTGGATTGAAGAATGTACGCTTCGAACGAACGCCAAGAAATTACGCTTATACGTGATTTACGTTTTTCAAGTTTTTTCCTACGAAAATCTCGAGCCCCTCCACTCCCCTGAAATCTTGTACACATATATTTTTTTACAGCTTGTTTTGCTGATTGCTGCAAAAGAGACTGCGGTCTGTCGGTGCAGCAGCATTACCAAACATTTACCCACCGCCGGGATCGATATTACTGCAGGGGTTGCGCGCTCGCGCGATACGCGGAAAATATCAGACGACCCGTCAGATGAAAATTTTTCCCCAAATTTTCCGGATAACTGACTCGCGCGCGACGTTCTTCGCGCACTGTTCGCCCCTTGTGACGCCCCGAGTGGCCGTGAAAAAACGAAGAATCGAATTAATTCTCGCTGTCAACGGCCTGTCAGTTCGTCGGGCGGCGCGTGCGCTCGTGAACTCGAGATGACCGTGTCTATTTTCACGGTGATCTCCGATCCGGCGATCGGGCGATTTCCGGTCCGGCCGGCCGGCGTTGCGCGAAATCGCGCGTGAAGGGCGATCGTTAAAATTTGCGCCAAGAGCGCGTTTTCGAATATTCCCTCGAGTGGAAGAACGCGCGACGGCGAATTGCGACGCAACGGGAAATCGTACGGAATATCATGCGAATCGGACCGCGCAACGAGCGCTAGAAATGTCTAACAAAGCGTAGAAATTTTCCCGATTCCGACTGGAATTCTGAAATTTGTTCCGGGACTATCGTGCAGCGCTTGAAACGCACTTTATCATTGGAGACTACCTTGCAACAAATACTGGGGGTTTACTATTGCTTGAAAAAAGAAAAGGAAAAGCAGAGGTTTATTTTCGATCGCGGATAAATAGCGATTTTGGCTTGATTGGTTCGCACTGACGCGATATGTAGCTCTTTGCAATTGGAATATCGATCTGTCGTTCTTCATATTGTACTAAACTGTATTCATCTGTCACAGAGTCGCACGTGTGTTATCTCGGCTGCATTCTAATATTTACTGTCAATACTGAAAATCTGCAATCTATGTCACGTGTAGATTTTCAGTGAATATCGGAATGCAGCTCTCGTGTAGCACTTTAATATCTAATATAACTTTATTTGCGAACGTACCCCGTGCGCTTACTTTTTTTTTACTCCGATCATATCATGAATGAAAAATTGTATAATAAAATCATATAGTGGAATTGTTCATATTCTGCAAAATTATTATGCGGGAAGAAAACACGGGAGCGAAATTTCAATAGAAAATAATTAAAAGAAAGATTGTTAAAGATTAGAAAATTTGAAATATTCCATTCCTAACCTTGAATTTGCGTAGATTTCGACAAATCGGATTAGATCCTAATTAGAATCGGAGAAATTTTTTTATGGAGATTTGGCCTTCCGGTTCATGTAAAATTTTCGGAAAAATTTTTGGCAGATTCGCGCGCGCGATTAACTCGCGAATTTAATATTCGTGCGAAATGTCCGTGTTGGTCGTTGCGTTAGGTTTTTCCTTTCGGTAATGTCCCTTTCTATAATTTCTGATTATCCCGACGGACTTATCCCAGAGCAAAGTAATGAATCCATATTAGGACTACGCTTACGGCTTACAAGCCGTTCTGCGTTACAATTGGGATTAAGATTTAGAACCCTACGCGTGTACGGGTCTACCTGGGTCTCGATGCGCTAAGCACCCGAGGGACCGAGGATTTTGGGCTCGAAAACGGTCCTCGAATTCTAAGATCCTGCGGTACGTCGCGTCTCACGATGCCTGATAACACAAATAAGGACGCCAAAATGGACGCTGCTTGTGACTGTCACGTCGCAGCAAATTTAATCGTCAAAGCGCGAAAGTATGTATACGAAAAGGACGATTTAAGTAGGAATTTAACTAGGAAAAAAGAGAGAAGAGAAAAGACCAGGAAAATTTGTGCTTTCCCACTTTTAGAGAATGTTCAAGGCATTCCACTTCTGGCTTGCAATCTGTATAGATTTTGGCAAATTAGACTAGATTCCAATTAGACGACCCAAAGACATTTTAGCCTTTCGGTCCGCTATTATTTCCTCGTTAGAACGAACGAGGCGATCGGGATTTTCGAAACGCCAATTCATCCGCGCAGGGTCCTCCTCCTGCATTCGGTGTAAAAACGGAGACTCCTAGATGAGCCTCGAGAGGTCGCGCTTTAACGCGAAGGACCACGCCGTCGTTCCCCTTTTCAATCTTTATCGACGGCGCCTCTAACGAGAAGAATAAATAATAAAACATTAAAGGGACGCGAAGGGACCCCTCCGAACACGCGGGACACGGGACGTCGGTTAATCGCGCTCGGCAAACACGAGCGACGCGGGTCGGAAGCGAGGAGGAGGAAGGGATCGATGTTGCGCGTCGCTGTCCCGCGAGGAAATAAGAAACGAGGAAAAGCGATAAACGAGAAAAAGGGTACCTAAGGACGGACTCTCGTCGTCGGGCGTGAGGCCAATACTCGGTTCCGTGCTGCTGCCGCAATCCCCAACGCCCCCGCTGCCCCCGCCGCCGACGCAGCCGCCCCCGCCGCTGCCGCTACCACCGCCGCCGCCGCCGCCGCCGCCGCCGCCGCCGCCGCCACCTTCGCCCTCCGCGTCGTGCTCGTCGTACTCTGAGAGCACCTTGTCCAGCAGCTCGATCGATCGTTGCACATCGTCACCTCTGGAACAAACGTAACGTTTGATTCTATAGAGATTATCGCGGGTCACCACCCCTCCCTTTCTCACCCCCCCCTCTCACTCTCTCTCTCTCTCTATCTATCTCTATTTCCTCTCGTCCCTCGTTCCCTTTTTCTCTGCGTAAACAACGCGCGCTAATGACCCGGGAGGAAAAAGGGTCCTCGGAATGACCGCTCGGGGGAGGATTTGGCAAGTACGTGGCGAAGGTACTTGCTCGAGGATGAGGCAAGTTTCGCACAGTCGGCGGTAGCCGGACGTGTGGTATCTTTTGCATCTCGTCTTAGACGGAGTAATTTATATTCGTTGAAGCGGCCCGGTAGAACAAACGCGGAGCAATTTCGGCGGGGAGAATGAGAGAAACGAGAGCGTGCGGCCCTTTTTAATGTGAAGTAGCGCGCCGTGTCAAGGATATTTCCGTAACTTTTGATCTCGCTGTCGCTGCTTCCCTCGACACTTATTCGTATCACTCGCGATTAATTCCGGGAATCGCGAGTCGAGTCGCGAGCTCTTCGATTTCACGTTAACGATCTCCTTCGTTTTGGAAGGAAAAATTTTATATAATTATGTATAATCATATAAATTATATGGATATACTCTCGAAGAGAGAGAGAGAGAGAGAGAGAGAGAGAGAGAGGGAGAGAAAGAGAGAGAGAGAGAGGGAGAGAGAGAGCGATGAAAACAATTGTTCGTATAATAATCTCACTTTTCGTGATCTCTCTCTCCCTCCCTCTCTCTCTCTCTCTCTCTCTCACCCTCTAGAACCTGCTGATACCAATCAGCACCCGGCCAACTTCTTCGCGCAGATCGACATAAATCATCGCTATCGTTAACGACTAAGCACCACGTGTCGGCCGCTCTCCCTTATCTCGTTCTGTCGCTGGTACGCTGGTCCCGCTTCGGCGGTAACGATAACCGATAAACGGACCGATAATTTTACACAGCGACGCCAACTATTCGCCAACAATGTCGGTTAAAATTCCAATTTAATTAAAAAGAAGTGGGTCACGACCCGCGACCGAGCGCGCACGTGTCTCGCGAAACGATCGCGCGGCTGTAAATTAAAACAACGCGGAACGCGGGGAGCACCCAGTCCTCCTTGTCCCAGTGAGAGAGAGAGAGAGAGAGAGAGGGGGGGGATTTCCCGCGGGTGCTGCCCTCCCGCGCGTGGGAAGGCCGACTTTCGCGTAAACTCCGCCGGGATCCCGCGCTGGTCTCCTCCTCACGAGCGCGCGCGCGCTGCTCCCGAAAGCGAGACGTGAAAGCTCCTCGTCTTTGCTCCTCTTCTCCCGTTCCTTTTTCTTTCTTGTTTGTATCTTGTTGAGTTCGCGGCGAATTCGATCTCGACGGGACGCGCGCTCACCCCGGGACCCGGGGGCTCGCCGACGACGTCGTCGTCACGGAGATTACCCTCGGAGGCGCGTGGCGTTCGCAAACAGCGCCGCGAGTTGACGCGTGCTTCACGCTCTCGTCGCCCAAGGCTTTCTCTCTCCGCGTAGCCGGCGATTTCTGGGTCAGTTTATCGATGGCCGCCGGACGATACACTGTATTGGGAGACGCCGCCGCCGCCGCCGCCGCCGACCGCGCGGTGAGATCGGACATGATGGGCAGTGGTAGCGCCGGCGATGGGGCGGGGGTGCAGGGGAGTGCTCGATGGTTTAGCAAACTTCGTTACGTGGGCGGATCCCGTTTTATCCGGGGCGGTGTGTACAGGATGTTCGGCGCGAATTACCGTGGAAAATCGATTACCCGGCATGGTACATTAATCGTCCTTACTTAACTCCGCTCCGATAGATTCTTCACCGTCGAGCGTGCGAGAGAGAGAGAGAGAGAGAGAGAGAGAGAGAGAGAGAGAGAGAGAGAGAGAGAGAGAGAGAGGGAGAGGGGGGGAGAGGAAGGAAAAGATGTCCCTGCTGCCGATGGCTACCTGGGGGGAAATTCCCGCCCCCTCCCCTTTACCCAGCCTAGCACCGCACCGTAAACGCGAGAGAGGAAAGTGACGTTTCTCGAGGATCGAGGAGACTTCGTCGATCGTAACTGTGAATTTTTCAGGTGAGAAGCGTCGGTGTAAATCGTCCGGTGAATTTTCACGCTGTACTGCAGGCGGGAGGAGCGATTTCTTCCTTATGACCGGCGCGAGAATGGCGCGCTCTCGGGAGAGAGGTGACTTTTAATAGACTTTTATCGCGTCATGACGACAATCGTGACGAGTGCCCTCCCTCCTTTCTCTCTCTCTCTCTCTCTCTCTCTCTCTCTCTCTCTCTCTCTCTCTCTCTCTCTCTCTCTCTCTCTCTCTCTCTCTCTCTCTCTCTCTTCTGGCTCATGGACTTATTTATCGCCAGCAATTGCTCGCGTGAGAGCGACCGTACGGCAACGTTGGCAGCTTTTTTTTTCACGGAAATAGAACTGGAGATGCAGACAGGGGCAAAAAACTGCCGGCTAAAATTAATCGCGTAAAAATTAATCGGCGCTCTCGTGCGAGCGAGTCGATCCTGAAGAATCGCGGGAAAAAAAATCCTCGTTGTGCTGTCCGCGCGCGCGCATCGTCATCTATATTTGCATGCACGTCGGAGCGGGGGGAGGGGAGGGGAAGTGAACGGCCATCGACCGTCTGAGAACGGCGAAGACAGCGGGACGGCGGGAAAATTTCGAAGACGACCGACGAAAGAGAGAGACGTCGGTTATCAGACGTTATTATCTCACCTGCTGGCGCGCGGTTAATTATTCTTTTCGTTCAGCGAGCAAACTGTAAACGACGACGACGACGACGACGACGACGGCGACGTCAATGACGTTCGAGGCGCGGATGCATCGCACTCTTCCGGGTCACCGGCTGTATCGGGACGATCCTGCGGGGCCGGATGGCCTCGATGCCTATGTACGGCAACCGATAACCGAGCATTTAATTAGGCGCCGGCGAGGAGGGAGGTGACGAGCGGAGGGAGGATGAGCGAAGTCGCGAGGCAATCCCGGCACTGACGCAATGCGGTCTTCGGCCGACCGAGCCGTAATCACGATTGCTAATTACTGTGGAAACACGACGGTGATCTTCGTTACCGGGCTGTGACGCGGGCCCGAGACGGAGGAGACGAAGGAGGGACGAGGGGAGAAGAGCTCGTCGCCGAAGCCAGTCAGACGGTCGACCGATGATTTCGCTCCTCTACGCGATCAGACGCAGCGAAGAATCGGACGAAAGGAGGGAAAGAGAGCGGATTGCGTGTCTGCGCTTTGTAATTTACGATACTCGCTCGTACAATTTGTTCCTCTGACATTTTTCGACGAGGTGAAAAGAAAGAGAGCGTAACGAAGGTAGGCAATCTCTGCCCCTCGCACGTTCGGCTAACAAAGTAATAATGGCTTAACGCAGTTGCTTCTCTCTCTCTCTCTCTCTCTCTGTCGTCTCTTCGTCGCTCGCTGTCAGTCATCGCACGCTTATTTTGCACATATCTGCCATTACACGTCCGATAAAATTGTTATTGTTATTGCTGCTATTGTTAGCTTCCCTATCCATTTCGCACGCACGCGCGCGCGGGGAGAACGGAAATTATTTTGACCCGCTTCTCTATTCCACTCCCGCTGATATTGCAACTCCGAAACCGCTGTCTGACATCGCGCCCGGGGAAATTGTGGAAAGCGCGTTTCCTCGTCCTCGAACCTTCACTGTGTACTTGAAATGGCGGAATTTTTGCAACGACAATGTCGCCTATCCGACTCACTGTTCGAGTATTCTACGTCGATCTCATCTCTGAGATTGAAATAAACGAGAGTAGACTCCGCGACTAACTTTACGTCGTCTCAAATGCTGCATTATCTATCTGTCTCCTTTTCACCATGGCTCTCTCTCTCTCTCTCTCTACGTCTACCGTCTATTTCCTCTAAAATTGCGTAGATCCAGACGGTGATCAAGGTGGGGAATGCTCGCCGGCGGAGCGCCGGTCTTAGCTCATTATACTGTCCTTGGGGATGAAACGCACTGATTTTTCGGGACAAAAGGGAGTACACGGAGGGAGTACTTTGTGCGGAGTTAATATCCCGAAGAGTAGTTCTACCGTCCAATAATTGTCGTGGTCGCAAGTTAATGAGAGACGCGACGGCGCCGATTGATCTTCTGCGGAAGTAGTACTCCCTCCCAGCGGCCGCATGAGTATTAATTCTCCGTGGAGAGCCAATAATCTCGTTGCCGCGGAGGAGGACTCCCGATTGCAACCGGCGGGAATGAAGCCGACAGCCGACAGCGCTGCTGCTTAGCGTCTTTCGACCGGTCGGAAAACACCGAAATCGATCCTCCTCAACGCGAATTCCTCCTACCGCGACCGTTCACAGGAAACACGCAGGAAGTACGCTCGGCTCTCTTTCCGGATTTCTCACTATTGAGAAGTTACACGAAAGTTACGCTCCAAGTTACATGGAAGTTCAAGCTGAGCTGTGTTATCGTGGGAAGAGGATTTATTAACCGATTTGCAAAGATGTACATAATCCTTCGTATGAACGGTGATTTTCACCTTGACGCGCAAATTTACCGCATCAAATGGCGAGAGGAAAATACGGCAAGAGGAGTGCGAAAAGAGCTGCGAAAACTTGCCGAGGATAATATCCCGCGTAAAAATGCGAAACCTGAACATCCGAGTGCGACTCTTAATAGATTCATCGCATCGCGTTCACGTGACGAGAGATCCTCACCATCGCATGGCATACAAATCTAACCGCTCTGCCTCGAACCAGCAAATTTGCTTCATAAGCGTAATTAAACAAAAGAAAAAAACTTCATCACCGACGAGCGTCAAGTCTACTTATTACGAGCGGTCCTCGAAGAGCCTAGCGAAGCGCGATGCGCGCGCTTTTAACAATGTATTGAGTATTAAACTTAATTTTAAAGGATTTACAAGAGGTGGCGCAATGAGCACTTAACGGCATCGGCCCAGTCATTAGGCTTTAAGAATCAGTATATTTCATTTAGTCCAAGTGTAAATAACATATCTTTTTAGC